GGCCTAGAGCCAGAGGACTATTACACTGGTAAGTGCTGGCATAAAATATTTAACTCAGTGTCTGGTTAGCTGTGGCAGGCACTTTTAATTAGATTGACGTTGCAAATTAATTGGTTGTGTGGATATACATTTAATGATTTCTTTCTCAAAGTTTCATTAAAACATACCAATGCATGCTCAAACAAAAGGAAATGTCATCAACATTTCTTACAAACACATTTGTACTTCTTTTCTTCAGTGCTGAATATTATGATGAGGACCATGTCAAGCTTTTGAATCAAAATTTATGTACTTCAGACATTCTGTTGTCTGTTTCTGTTAGGTTATACTTTGCTTTAATTCAAATGTGAATAGTTTTATTACTGACATCTGGGGAAAATATTTCAGAGAGTAGCTGGACAGTAATTGCTTTTGTTTTCCAGTTTCTGTGACTCCTGAGACTGACAAATCAAAGGAAGATCCTTTGGGCCTTTTTGGGGTGAGTTACTGACAAACAAACATGTTGAATGTTTAATAGAGATTTTTACTTTTAAAAATAAATTAAGGCAAATCAAAACATATCTAAGTTTAATGACAGGAAGGACGTTATCAATGGTCATGCACACCAAATGTTTAAACAAAGATTTCATGTGATCTATTAAAAGTTTTCCAAAGTGCTTGAAAAATGGTTTGTTTCAAAATTAGATAGTTATATTGAAAAATTATCTTGTTGAGTGATGGTCAGTATGGGTTTAGATCAAATAAATCAACATCCCATGCATTATTAGAATTAAATGAAGAAATTACAGAAGCAATAGAAAGGAGCAATACACAGCGGGGGTGTTTGTTGATTTAAAAAAAGCTTTTGACACTATCAACCACCCTCTATTACTTTCTAAATTACAGGATTGTCGGATAAGAGGGATACTCCATAATTGGCTGAATAGTTACTTAACTAACTGTAAACAATTTATACAACTAGGAAATATAAAATCAGATTTTCAAAGTATAAAATGTGGAGTTCCTCAGGGTTCAGTGTTAGGACCAAAGCTTTTTATTTTGTATATAAATGACATTTGTGAAGTATCTAAACTGCTAAAGTTTATCCTGTTTGCAGATTATACAAATTTGTTTTGTTCTGGGAATGATCTAAAAAGCCTTATGGAACAAATGGCTAGTGAGATGTCTAAACTTAATGAATGGCTAAAATACAGTAAATTGTCAATAAATTGGAATAAAACTAAATTCATGATTTTTAGTAACAAAAAAATAGATTGCTCTATTACAATGTCCATAGATGATTAAATAGTGGAACGAGTATATGAAGTCAAATTTTTAGGGGTTGTCTTGGATCATAAACTTAACTGGAAATCTCATTTAAAATATATAAAACAAAAACTACGTAAAAGTATTGGACTTTTAAATAAAGTAAAAAATATTTTAGAACAACCAACACTCCATACATTATATCACTCATTTGTTGCTCCATATATGATCTATTGTGTAGAGGTATGGGGCAACACATATAAAACCAATACTAAACCTTTGTTTGTGTTACAGAAGAAAGTTATGAGAATTCTGTATAAAGTGAATGTTAGAGAACATTCAAATGATTTTTTTACTCAATCAAACATCTTGAAACTACGGGATTTAGTTAATTTAAAAAATTTATTAGTTATGTTTAAAGCAAGAAAGACATTATTGCCAATTAATTTACAAAAGTTTTTTGTCTTAAGTTCAAATGACAGAAATAACCGAAGAAAATACGATTTTAAAAGTAAAACTGTGCATACTACTTTAAAGCACATGTGTATTTCAGTTTCTGGGGTAAAATTATGGAATAGTGCGGATGACAATTTAAAAAAAATGTTCTGCTTTAAATCATTTTAAAATACTTTATAAGGAAAAAATTATTAAGTCTTATACACTTTTGAGTTAATGAGGAGAACAATATATTGTTTGCAGATTCTATTTGTGATTTAATTTATGTGACCATGAAAAATTAATTGTAATTATTGAGAAAGGAGCAGGTTTATACAAGTTTTTTTTCTTCCTGCTCCCTTTTCACTCATGCATAGTACGTGTTAAACGAAAATGTGTTTGTATGTTATATTGAGGAAAATTGTTGAATTGAGTGAATAAACTTGTTGATTGATTGAAAAAAAGTTGGAGAATATGTTGAGAATGGCTCAGTTATTGTCACATCAAACTCCCAATCAGAGCTTGTCAACTAATTTATTCAGTGGGCCTCAGTTACTGAAAACCAACATCTATTGGGATGGACAGGCAGCAAATAAATAAATAAATAAATAAATAAATAAATAAATAAATAAATAAATAAATAAATACAGTCTACATAAAGTATTTTAGAAAATGATAGACAAACTCATCTTCCATGCAACATATCGTTAGCCTCATAGTATATGTCTAAGTCATTTGTGACCAAATATGTATTGGGCAATTATGCTGTGAGGCTTACGATATTTATTTTTGCAAGAAGTGCAATCACTATTTTATCATCTGGATTTTTACTATGAACTGTAGATATTAAACTCAATGTATTTTAATAATGCATCTGAATGACTTCATGATTCTAAAATATAAGTCCACAATCCCACAACAGAAACTCTATTGAGGTGCGGCGACTTGTTTGGATGTATAAAGGAAAGGTGCGCAGAAACATGCGTGTGCACTGTTTGATACATCTGAATATTTTTGTGCAGTGCACTTTTCAAAATTTGTCCGTACACCAACTTTTAGTGCGAAAGCTGCGCACTCCTTTAGACATAGGGCCCCAAGTTGCTGGTGCCTGTCCAGCTCATCCTGGGCAGGTTGCAATTCCACAACAGGGACACATGGAGACAATCATTCTCACTCACACCGTGGGGCAAATTTGGGTTACCAATGAGCCTAATGCTTTCTATATAAATAAAAGCTGAGTTAAACCTGTGTGATCTGACCTTGTCTGCAGATTCACATGGCAGTGGGTCTGGCCGGGGTTGCCGGCGTAATCCTGATACTCGTTGTTCTCATCAACAAGCATGTTCGACGATCTAAGTTCAGCATAAAAAGTAAGAAGTCTGAATGTTATTGAGTTTTTCCAGTCATGCTCTAAATAATTTGTGTGGTGATTATTGAACTTAGGTACTGCTGATAGTAAGTATTTAGTGGTTTCTGATACATCAACATTAATTGTAGAGTAAGAAGTATGAAGAAAAGGGTAGCTGTCTTACTCCAGCTTAGACTTATCTTTAATTACACTAGAGCCAATTTTATATAATTTTTAGCTTATAAAACAACTTTTTCTCAAAAATATCATACTAATGTGCAGGAACACCACATTAGCCAATATTAAACAGTTACCATTTTGCTTGGTTTAGTTTAGTTTAGATTAGATTAGATTAGATTAGATTAGATTAGATTAGATTAGATTAGATTAGATTAGTAATTTTGCCATATCACTCTCTAAAATATTTTCTAAGTGAAAAAAACGGTGCGCGCTTGTGTGTAAAGTACTATTTTATTATGTAAAAGAATTATAAGGCTAATATTTGCATGTCTGGGAAAAATTATAAAACAGGGTTCTTTCATATTAATTACCACTGCTAGTACTATTTTGTACTATTTTTGACTTGTGTATAATTTTGCTTTAGATTTTTATGTGTAAATACCTATAAAAGTAACCTAAATGTATTCTGTGCATATATTTATATTACTTTACCTCTCAAAATAACATATTTATTATACGAATGTCCCTTATAAGTATGCCATTTTACAACATGTCTCACCTTTTCAACAAAAAAATCTGTTTGAAAATCCGATCAAAATTGACCAAGTTATGGTTATTTAAATAGTGTACACCACACACATTCATGTTAAGTGTGGGTGAGCTCCCCGACCCAAGATGGCCACCATGTGAGGATGTCAGTCTCCATTGGCCAACAGCTGGTATGCCTTTATATATCCATGAAGGCCTCATAATGAGGCAGACGAGTATCCCCCGTCTGGTGGTGAAACAGACTATTTCCTAAATCCCAAACCACAGAGAAAACTCCGCCCCCTCATTTGAAATAGTACAACTGCATGAAATAGGAAAACAACATGAAATAAAAAGGGAGTTCAAAATAAAAGTCCCTGAAATATGTAAAGTAGCTTTACAAAATAAAAGTGTCACAAAATAAAACAATATGTAATAACTAACTAACTAACTAACTAACTAACTAACTAA